CCTATATATATATATATATATATATATATATATATATATATAGGCTGGTTCAAATGTTAACCAAGTTTATTGTGTTAACTTTGTTAACAAATTTTGGCCATTGATTCTAACAATAAACGATTGTGATTTATCATATTAAAATTTTACTTTTTAAAATTTATAATTTCACAAACATTTGTGAACTAAGTGGAAAAGGGTATTTATGTAATTTTATTTTTTATGCAACTCTCATATCATTAATTGAGAGTTACAAAATCAAAAAATCTCCTGATTTTTGTTAAATTTTTTTTTGTTAATGTAAGAACCATATGAACACATCTATACATATATGAACCATTGTGTCAAATACGAACAAAAATTGACATATATATAAACTTGGACTGTATAGCATTTATGAAAATAATATGAACATAATAATTAAGAATAGCTGCTACACGAAATGAAATAAATAAATAAAAACAAGTATGAACAGCTTGTGAACAATAGTTTCTTCATTATGAACACATTCAGGAGTGAGTCAATATTGAAATATGCAGCTAGTGTACATATGAATACTTGTGAACAATAGTTACTTCATTATAAATAATAAGTTTATCCATAATAGCTTGAACGATACCGAAAACTTTATTACCGGGTCTCCTCTACCAATCACAAATTCAAAAACATTATAGATTAAAATCAATATTATAAAAAAAAAGATCAATAATAAATTAACAATAATCATGAGATTTTTTGATTTTATAACTCCCAATAATGATATGGGAGTTACATAAAAAAAAGAAAATTACATATTTACTTTTGTCATTAAATTATAAGATGAATATGAACCTATATATAAGATGGATTGTAATTGGTTGAAAATGGTTAACAAAGTTAACATAATAAACTTGGTTAACATTTGAACTAGACTCTCCCTCTCTCTCTCTCTCTCTCTCTATATATATATATATATATATATATATATATATATCAGATAACAATATTACAAAATTTATATTCATATAACAAATATTAGAGAAAGAAAAATCATATAGATTATTATTAGTATTACTATAGTTTTTGATCAAATATTCAAAACAGAACTTAGAATGATAATTTTACAACTTTATTTTAATTGTAAGTTCATGACGTGTATAAATCCTTGAAATTGTGATGATGTGATTAATTGAATATGTAAGAGTATAAAAACACAAAAAAAAAAATTCAAAACAAAGTCACGTTCTGTTAGAAACGCACGTTGTGGCACGCCATGACATAAGTCATGCTTTACAACAATACTATAGGTCTTATTATAACGAAGCAAATGCGTCTTATGTCATATTATATCATGACGTGTCTTTTTAAACCTTGCTATGTACTCATTTGTTAAATTGATAAGCTTTCAAATATAATTTCATATATTTTTTAACTACATATTTAAATATTTATCAATCATATACTTAAGGGTTTTTTTGGTATTGTTGAATGATTTGATGCAAAATGATTAATAGGCCCTCATAATATAGTGTAAAATGAAATATAATTGTTTACAATGAAATTAGGGCGCTGAATGATTAAGGAAAGCTCATGATACAAAATCATTTAAAGAGTTTTAGAACTATTAAAAGACATATTTTTTTTACCAAACAAAATTTATTCAACGATTCAGAGACTGTCTCTTAATAAAACTATCAAGAAGTAAATAAACAACCTTTTATATTTTCACATCCATACTGATGTAGATTTTCATTTAATTTATTGTCTAGTTTCGAAAACAAAAATTGTTTTACTTCTGACTTTTTTTCTCTTGTCCTCCGATGCTTTAGCTTCTGATTTAACTAAAAAATGTGCAATATGTTGTGTCCAATAATAGTTAAGGAGAGAAAATGTCAAAAATGATAACATGTGGACCAAGTAAGCTATTTTAAAATAGTGGAGGGGCCAAATCTGTCCCTGGCTATTCTTTCTGTACATTAACCAAATTTAATAAACTCCCCTTTTAATTTTCATTTATTGCCTGTTTCATATGTCAACTACTTTTTTTGTTTTTATTTCCTGTGTAAAAGACTTGAATGAATACAAGCATTCTCATTAAGTTCACATGGAATAGGATCTGAACGAGTAAGATACATATAAAAAAAAAATTCTGTTTCAAATCATTATTAAGTATTTGATAAACTAATCTATACATAAATATACATAAATACAACTTATTAAAGCTTCATATTTGAATTTGTGTAACTAATTGCAGATAAACATAATCAAATATTTGATAAACATTTCATTTTAAATCTAAATATAATTAGGATAATAATTAAGTTCTAACATAATACTTAGTTATTAGCTTTATTAGAAAATATATCATTAAATCTAAATTAAATTTATTTGTTACTAAACCTAAATTAAATTATAATTAAAAAAATTAATTAATGAAATTACTCCAAAACACAAGAATTTTTAAAAAGATTAATTTGATATTGATATCGATATTCTTTTTCAAAATTTTATGATATTTTATTCAAAAATAAAAACATCATCATTTTCACAAAACCACATAAAACCGTATTTATATCGATATAAAAAATAAATAAAATGAAACACTGAAATCAAGATGTGTTTCGATGCATTGCACGAGTACCCTTCTAGTTTATCTAAAATAGAAAACCAAAAGTTGAAATCTCTAAAAATAATTACATTCAATTCTAACAAATTCTCTATTTTAAATATTTTAACATAAATTATATTATTATAATATTCTCTAATTTATAATCTGAATGTACCTTTTAAAAAAACTTTATATAAAATAATACTGATGAAGTTAAAATATTTATAAAGTTTTCTAAACTTGGAGATTTTTCATGTTTTCTATATTTTAGGAAAGAGAAGGCTAATGGTACCTCTACCCCTTACTAATAACACCCATATCCTTGTGTAATTATTATTTTTGGTTTTCTTTTTGTATTTTTGTTTTTTGTCGTCATTTTCTTATATTAATTTTCCTTTAATTATGTTATATAATTATAAATATATTACTATTACAAATATTATCTTTTATTCTGTAAAAAAAAATTAGCA